CGCTCCAGTCCTGCCATCTCAGGATTCCAGGAAGAACCGACTCGGCCAGAATTATACGACATTCGAGATGAAATGAAAATCCTTAACCAGTAACCGTAGCCACTCGTAAAAGTTGCAAGATTCTAGTGGATGGTGGATGCGAGGAAACGAATCGAATATGAGTAGTGCTGAGATCCAAGCAGTAGATGTGAAGACGAATCATATAAAAATGAAAAAAGCTTAGTCTAAAGTACTAGCTGTTAAGACAGGCATCACATAAACACCCGTGTACCTGACTAGCAGCAGCATGCAATTACCAGTCTAGCATCGTATCGCACTTAGATCGAACGATTAGTTCGATTAATTGAATATTCAACACTCTCCATGTACTCAGTTCACCCGACAAGTACTCAAGTCTGGATCAACAGGTCTGCATTACAGTTCGATCCTACGAATCTTTACTATAACAGTGAATCTCTAAGGATAATAACTAATTACTCTCCTAATATTCTCATTTGGCCTATGTCGCAATAGAGAGAAGCCAATCACTGACCAGAATTGTGCTCAACGTCAATTTCCTTCTGAACAAATCAGAACTGCGGCATACCCTGTGGCGCACATCATACTAATCATCCTACCCACTATCTATATATTAGGAGGCGGATTCCACATTGGTAGTGAAGCGGATCATCACGAGGAAGGTACTAGTTCGATCCCGCTCCAGACTCACCTAGCCTCCCATCTCTCCGTGGTTAGGAACTAGGTACCAAACCTTTTCGGGAAGAAAAATGACCCTACTCAGTCCAATTCGAAACGATTCAGCCCGGCTATCTCAGGACTCCAGGGAGAATTGACTCGACCAGCATTCAAGGAGATTAAAGATGAAGTGAAAATCCTCAAGCAGCAGTCGAAATCACAGGTAAAAATTTGGAAGACCTCCGTGGATGATGAGTGCGAAGAAACGAATCGAAGGTGGGAATTGGTGGGATCTGCGTTAAAGCTCTCGGAGTTGGCCAATCTCAGAGGGATGCGCCATGCATTCCACTTCATTAAGCATCGTTAGAGGTGATTGAATGCATACGTGGCCTTTACAATGACTCGTAGTGGTCTACCGATGTATCGAGTTGATGCTGCTATCCTCCAGGACAGGTCTGGGACCAATTTGCGGTCCACGGTGGGATAGGTTTGGTGAACCTTGGGCACGGCGATCGATCCCATGTGTATTACTGGGCGCCTCCGACCACTGCGCTATATAACTCGCCTTAATAGTATTAGTTATCAAAAATCCCTTCACAAAATAGCATACGCTACAACCAATAACTTACAATCCGAACTACACTTGGTGCACGACAATAGTCATGCATTTGGAGCGAAGAATATATTCCCTTCTTGTCCGTGAATACTAAGATGCAAACGCGCTCCAGCGTCATTTGGGTGCATTGGCCACGCTAGATGTACATCAGACGGTTCATTCGTGAGTTCGTTTCCCTCAGGTACGGTCCTTCGTTTCCTTAAGGTCTCATTTATTCGGTTCTTAAGGACCTTCTTAGCCACTTCTTGTTGTTCGGTGGTTTTTATCACATGCATTGCAGAATTGCATGTGTTATGACAAATATGGTAGCGAGTTGCATAGCATATGTTTTCGCGTCTTTTCAGATTCCTTTTCTTTGCTTTCCATATTGTCGAAGTGTTTCTCATTGCAATATTTAGTGTTTGTCCATCAATTGTTCCATTTCGTGCTCCTACTAGCTAGTAATGAAGCTATTCATCCATACACACAAGTATATATATACGTGTATGTACAAATATATCCATGTAGTACATGTATATGTACGCATATATAGAATTTTAGTTGCTGGCTATGTCTGATAACCAGAAAACGGAACAACCCGCTGGTCTTGAAGGCCAACAAAATGCTTCTTCAAGAGTTGCAGATTATTGTGAGGACCTCCGAAAATGGGTGAGTGGATTATGATGGTCCCTTGAAATAAACTCCAGCTCAAATTCAAATACTGCTATTTTCCCATTATGGTGTTTAGATGCTTGATGTTCACTGTTGGCAAGCGTATCAGTACAACATGGCTTTAGCGGCCTATCAGAATCAAGGTTTGCCGCAACCTACCTCCACCGATACTTTTCTGCGCAGACGTCATGAACCTGTAAGTGTGGTTATTGAAGCTTTATTCCGCGGATAAGTTCTGTAGGCGAAAAGGATTCACTGCATTTCTCTTGTTTATGATTCTTAATCAAGTTGAGAGGTTTGTGGAAAAGTTTGTGTTTTCGTCGTCTTTGACACTTTCTTATGTCTTCTTTTGTCATTGTAATCTGTTGTACTAAAAGTACTATAACTGATTGAAAGTCGTACTTTCTCGTGCACAACCGAACCTGCTAGAGTACAATATTGAGCCGACCAATCGGTTCTTAACAAATTCTCCAACATGCTGTCTACAATATCTTAGGAAAGTAGAAGTTGACCTAAGTTGAATTTTAGTTGCTGGCTATGTCTGATAACCACGACAAAGTTATCGCTTACAGTTTTCCTCGCTGTTTTTAACTTTCGAATGTAGGAGTCTTTTTCCAAATTTTTTTGCTACGCTTTTGCAACAATTATTGTTGATGACCCTCCCAACGGTTTACCGCCTCATCGTGGCTGGGAGGTGTTCCTGGTTGTCGGTCTGCGATGTACAGCGGGGTGATTCATCTCCCCAGCAGGGCTTCCCAAGCTGAGAAGGAGTATGGCGTTTCCCTCAGGAAGTCCCAACTAAGAGTAAGGCAGTACCAGGTTTCGACACCATCCTGGTGCCAAACTAGTCACATGGTAAATTTCCCTCTGATCCACAAGGGCTGCGATGGGCTGTTGTGGTGACGGCCAGTGTCAGGCTTTGGCTAGGCTGACCTCGGGTTTGCAGGGAACCCTGGGAAACAGGACACAGTGGCTAGGCTAAAAAAACTCCGAAAAAGTGGAAATTATACTGGGGCGCACACAACTAGTGAGGACAGGTGATCCAAGTATCCAAGTAAGCACGGTTGTTGACATTGTTACAACATACACTAATTTCTTCGGTATATTGAAGCATTTGTGCTTCTACTTTTGACGTCAGCAGATGTCAGTGACAATGAGCAACCGATTAATAACAAAGCTGCTGAGGTTAGAAGTGACGCATTTGGGTGTAATAGTAGATGTAACAATTTAAAGTGCATCATAAAGGGGTACAACGTTAGCTCTAAATTCCTTTTTCTGTGATTTCCGTGTCAAAGCAAAACCCTTTCAACACTTCAGAGTGTTGATGCTGCCGGTGCTAACAATGTAGCTGCTGATCAGACACAACGTGAAAACCCACCTACATTCCCTATGCCACCAAGCGCTAGAGAAGTATCCATCGTTCGCAATCCGAATGGTACGGATCATCTGACTGCGCAGTTTGTGTAAGCAACCTCTCTTTCAGTTTGACAGGTTATAGTACATTTCTTCATCATTTAAGTGGAATGATGTATAGAACAGGTGTTTAGTTAAGTCATATGGTATTTCAATTGAATCTCTTTTATGCGTCTAGAATCTGGCACTATTTTCTATCTTTTCTAACGATTGTTGGCGAAGTTCTACCATTTTTTGAGTCAGCGATTTCCACTACTAAAAGCATTTAAGGGTAGCATCATATCTGCGTCGATTTACGGCCGAAGTTATCGATTTTGTTTTCGCGTTTTTCATCAAACTTATCCTCATCTACTGCCTTGTTGAGATGGAATTTGTGTAAGCAATTGAGTTACTTTTTCAGCAGGTTATTATTCTCAGTGTTTTAGTGTCTAGTTCGGTCTATACGCTATCACGTCGTTTAGAGATCTTAACCGTTTTGACAAGCTCCTTGGCAGTGAGGCCGATCTTCAGATGCTTGTGGATATCACGCAGGAGTTGTTCCCATTGGAATTGCTTGGAAAACTAACGTGTAGCTTGTTGGAGGTAGACTTATTATTGTCTTAATACTTTATATGGAGTATCCTATTGGTTATTTTTATGTTTCGCTGTCTATTTGTTATACAAAGATCTTTTCTTGTTATTTGAAATTACGGCACACCCAACCATTTGTAGGTAATGGGGATTCACGACTTGAGCAAAAATTGCTCCGTCACCTATGGTATATTCTCTGTGCCAGTAACACTGTTCCCAATATATTAGAGCAGATAAGGATAGTCGTAGTAAGTACGTGTGTTGAATAGAATTATAGGTCGTCTTACATTCTACATTGACACAGTTGAGCGGCATACTTTTCACACATTCATTGCGACTTTGTCAACCACTTTCGCTATGGTTGATCCCAGATTTAGAATTCTGGTCATCGTATTTCTGTACCGCCCGTCGTCCTCTTGATCGTCGATTGATTCAAGCGGACCCCATTGAGCCTTCTATCTCTGCGTGTCTCGTGATAGAGTAGCTCAATGGGTTCTGCTCGCTCTTGGGACGTCATATCTTTCATCTAGCGGAAGCTGTAACTATTCCATTTGGACATCGGACTGCAATCACCTTATTTTTGTAATTCGCGAGGTTTTGGTGGGCTTTGCAAATGCTGCTCTCAGCCCTTGCAGCTTCGACTGTAAGTGCGCTCTTCTGTCTTTAAAATCTTCCTTAACAGTCTTTTTGCAGTGTTTTCCAAGTTCGGAAATGAATTGGTGTTTCTCTGTGGCTCGTGCAATTAGCACCGTGGCATGTCAGCTCGAGTGTTTCTGGAGCAGATGTCTTTTGGTGGCTTTCTAACTCTCAGCTTTCATAGCGCTAAAGAGAAGATTTTGCATAAACCGGTCGTACTTCTCCTCGGCGTTATCAGTAACGACATCTTTCCAAAAACTACAAGTGTTCTGAATAATTCCCAGTTTACGCTGGTTTTGGGACTTCAATTTTCGAATTCTGTGGCTTTTTCTCCGTTTCGCTAGAAATGAAATCTTGCACGGAGGAGGCGATGGTGTGATCCCGTGTGAATTTCCGACAACTGCGACATCGGTTACGTAAAACTTCCGATTTACTATAATGGGGCGTATTTGTTTGTGGTACCATACATTGGCAGACTCCCACGTTTAACATTGAGAGTGATGCTTCTAGAATTTTAAGTTACCATGCATGGAATTGGTTGTTATGGTAAACTTAGACGGCCACTTGCCCTACTGGTTCTTTTTTTAATTTGTGGGTCCCATTGTGACATTCTTCTGGGTCCAACTAACGTTAAAAATCTCCAATAATGACTTTGGATAATGTATGGCTTTCTCTGTAGAACTTCTGCAAGTCCGTTTAGAACGCTTCGATTTCGTGGTTCGGCATAACTTCATGTCGGTTGTCGATGAGGTTATCAAGGTCGGTATTGATCCACATAGCTTCAGTTGTAAGCGACCGATTCTGGTTGTTAGTTGTGCAAATGAATCAATATTCATGGCCAAACTTGTGCTGACGAGAACATCGTTAATGTCTGAGGAACTGTTCTCTTCCAATGGCTGGACAGCGTTTTCTAGTTTCATCGAGTTCGATGACATCGTACCGTATCTCTCTTGCCTTTCTAGTTAAGTTTTCTGCCGAGGACTTAGACGCAAGTGTGCGTGGATTGTAAGTAGAGATCGTCACCTTAGTTCATTGCCATTTAGATGGCCTAGAATGGTTCTGAAATTTTAGCATAATTTCTATGCTCGTTCTACCCAACGCTGCTGTATCTGGAACCGTTTTGGGGTAGGGGAATGAAGCTAGTTTATTTTACTGTGTTTGACCTTTGATGCCCACTTATAGTTTGCTGGGCTCTGAGCGTGGGAAGTGGAGATAGCCACGGGTAGATTACCTGTCTCCTAAAGCAGGCCAGGAGCTAATTTGTTGGTAGAGACTCCTGACAATCTCTCATATACTTTTGTGTCACTTGATTGCAGCTTTTTTGCCCAATTTGCACGTACACGTATATGAATACGCCCTCGTAAATACGGAAGGTATGTGGCAGGTCGGCACATCAGTAACAGGTATTCCGTCCCCAGGATCCACCTGCGTCTCAGAGAAGCGTGGGGTCGGTTTTATCTCTAATTAACCCTCTACCTCCCACCTGGGGAAATGCCACGTTGCCTTGCAATTAGCCAGCACGAGATCCTTCCGGGAGGGTGATCATTCGGTCATCTTTAATTTTTCGAGAATTCTTTGAAAATATGAGTCGCAAATTGAAAAGAGTATGACTGCAGGTGTTTGCGGTGGGGAACGAATGCACTATTATCCTTTCCCGGGTTTCACGCGTTCGCCACCACACCATACTGGGCTTTCGTTTAACCTGTCTGTCAGCCAGTTTTCTATCCAATATCCATTATTTTTAAAATTTTTTTAAAGGCACTGTGCTTATCTCAATCGTTCTTTCCTCGATTTTGCGGACAAACACCTGGGAAATATTTTATGGGTGTTCGAGTCATCGAATGTGAAAGCGTATCTCATGTCGCTGGCGCAGCTCCGAGTGTTGTTCGTGTTAGTGGATCGGTTGTGGTTCCATTCAAGGCGTTAGTTTCTTTTTTCTATATTTATCCAGATATATAACAATCTGCTTTGCTGTGTTTCGAAAATTCTAGATGATGCACAAAAGCGTTTTAGTTATTTACGCTGACAGTGTTGTATTCCAATATTCGAAATGACCTGATCATACTTTACGGCCTTCGATTGATTACCACCCCACTGTGGTTAAATGGCCTTCCGAGGTGTCAAAATGCGGTTCACAGCAGGAGTTTTTCTCAGGGCGCGGTCACCCAGTTCAACAGTTCAAAATTTGCGGCCTTTTTTAAAAATTTAACTTAATGGTGATCCTAAATCACTGGCTGCGTGTGGCGCAGTGGTTGGAGGCGCCACCGCGACACACGTGGAATCGATCTCTGCGCCCATTGGTGCCTAAGCTTTCCATCCCTCCGGGGTCGGTAAATTGGTACCAAACTTGTCTGGGAGGATAGCAGCACTGGCTCAATACATCGGTAGACCACCGCGAGTCATTGTAGAGGTCAGATATGCATTCAATCACCTCCAACGATACTTAATAAAGTCGAATGCATGGCGCATCCCTCATTTATTGATCAGCGCCGAGAGCTTTATCCTTTTTTTAAATCCTAAATCGGTAGTCGCTTTAATTCCGGGGGCAACCGAGTCCCAAAATGGCAAATCTGATTTCCATCCAGAGAGATCGGCGTATACGTGTAGATATAACTTTCTGGGAAAGGCCTAGTGCGGCTTAATTGATGCTCGAGGGAAAGAAATCTTACCCAAGCAGAAAATACTATTCTAGAGAAGGAGTATTTCGCAGTTTTAGTTTTTTAATCCTTTTTTCTGTTGTCGCTCATATCGATGTAAGTTCGGGATTAAATGGCCGGCTGTGCAGATGAATGTGCATGATCAACCTTTGGTCCGGCTTTTTTCAGCATTACCTTTTTTTACTTATTTGCTACATAACCTGTCATCACATGTATCGCGCCGCGCGGTTCCAAGCATTTTTTTCACTCGATTTGTTTCCATGTGTGCACCATCCAGCATGATCTACTAACACTTTTTCCTATGGCTTCAGGTGCTGCTTTTTGATTTTTTCGTCTTTTGCACGAAGCTGGGCGATTCGATGGTCCCTGGAATTCGGAGATAGCTGTGCTGCGGCGTTCCCGCTTGATTGAAGGGAGGCAGCTTATCCCAGACTATTGTGGGACCAATTTTCCGACTTCGGAGGGATGAGAAACATGATTGGCCCAGTGCTACATCGAACGAGTACCTATGTTGGTGGGCCGTATACGTAGTGAACGGGATCGTAACTACTCCTTACGCGCTCCTGCAATATTATCTTTACGATGTTAACTTTTTATTCTCTCTCTTAGAATTTTTCACGGCAGAGTGTTATATGTGAAACAACCACAGTAATGCTGAGATGTTTGCGAAACTTCGGACCATAGGTATCTGCGGTGAGGAACGAACGCGCTAATGCCCTTTCCAGGGGCGGTCTGGGCAGGTCGAATCGGCAATGAACTCAGTTAAGTTGAGGCTGTAGTCGAAATCACAATGTAACAGATGATTACTGGTAGTACTGTTCGATAGAAAACTAGCTGAGGGACAGGCGAATCGAAGGGCCGGCATGGTGTGGTGGTGAATGCGTTAGCCCTGGAAAGGTTAGTAGACACCTGCGGTACGAAGTTTTGCAAATATCTCAGCATCATTATCTTTACCTTTTAATATTTGTAACGAGCAATTTCCTTGAGCTCTGTAGCAAAATGAGCTCAGACAGCCGTGGTGTGTTTGGGTGAACAGCCACTTAAAGATTGGCATTTAAATTTTTTTTGCGGATTAAATCTTTTTTTTCTATAATTTTGCTACTGTTTGTTTTAATGACGATTCGAATGAGCCATGGTGGTTTTCAGAGCTATGTTGAGGTCGATGTTGAAAAACATGCTCATCAATTCTTTGGTGCCGTTTAGCACCGTTGCGTTCGCTTTCAATTACAACCGCGCGATCTACGACATCATCGCAAGGACAATTGTCATTGTTGAGTAGTTTTTCTTCTTTTATATGATCCACTCAAGAATTACTTGTATTCTGAAGTCGTTATCTCATCTCTGAAAGGAACTGTAATGTTTGCTAATGTGTCGTGTCTGGTTAATATCTCTGCCTTCTATATGCCGTTGGTGATATTGGGCTGATATCTCCTTTTCTAAGTTTCCTTTTTCGTTTCTGATTGGAAACTCTGTGGTAATTTCCGGTAAGGATACTGATGTGGTGAGGTGCGTCTAATGTTGGTCATGAGATTTTGATAAAAAAAAAACATCGAGATCAGTGCAGGTATCTGTATCGATGCTGTTGCTGGCTACTGTAACGCTCAAGGCTTTACGACCACTTTTATATATGTCGATAGTAACTGTTAGCTTCTCTAACTTTGCTTCTAGGCCGAAATGCATTATTGTAGTCATCAAAAATTCGATTTGGGATGGCTTTTTCCTTATTCGCGTTGAATGTTATTCGTTCGAAAATACACGTTTCACAGAGGGTGAAGTGCCATTCTTATGTTCTCCGTTAGATCTTTATTGAAATCGATTTAGTACGATAAATGATGTCGGAATTTTTGCGCACATTATATTTCTTTCTATGGTTTTTGTGAGCTGTTGTTTTTAGGCAAGCAAAGTTATGGAGTATTTTATGTTACTGAATGGTGGTTGTAAATAATTAAGAACTACCGTGTTTCTGTATAAGTATCAAATTTGGAATATATTTTGTTCCCAGTTATCCTATCAGTGGAGCTCGGGTATCATCGGTTTGCGAATTCCATTGGCTATAGGTTTGGTAGATAAGATTGTGCTATTGTTTTTTTCTCTTTTTGTATGTATGAAATCGGAATTGTTTTCGAAATGGGTGTATTCTGTAAGTGTGTGACTTACTACTTGTGCTGATTTGGTTTTTGAAATATGTATTCGTCTGTTGTTTTGTTTGTTTCTTTGCTTTCAAGTGAAGATTTTTGTAATGGCTAACCCATATGGGATTACTCAACGTTGTTGTGACTTCAGTGAAATTACGGCTATTTCGTATGCGAATTGTAATCTTTCGTTAGCTGGTGAATTTGGGTTCTTTCATAATGAATTTTTATTCCCTTCAAATTCTGATTGTGGGAAATAAGAATGGTATGTTCGGTTACCAACTTGGTAAGTAAGCACTTAAATCAAGCTTGACAATAGTGCAATCAGGATGTCAATTTTGTGTATGGGATAATTCATCAGGCAATAAATTTCTTTAAAATGACGGTGAAAGCTGGATTTTCGACTGAAACCGAGTTTTTCAATAACTAGAGTAATTGGAGAGTTTTTAACATGGTAAACTGGCAGATGGAGTTAAGCTACATGTTCATGCAGGTGCATACAATCTTTATGAATTATTCTATCATTTTTGAAACTGTTTAGAAGTAGGTTCTTGAAAAGTATTGGGAGTGAGGTTTGACTGTTCTTGTTTTTTTTCTCTTGAACTATTCCGCCGTTTTTCATGCGAGAGCGGAAGCCGCAAACAGCAAAGATACACAGGGGGTTCACAATCTCGTCCTGTTCGGCGGAACTGTTCTCTTATGTTCGAAGTGGAATCGTTGAAGGAGGAAAGCGGAATGACGCACGTTTCTTGAGCTCCATGTTTGTAAATATCTCTACTTTCGATTGGTTTTTATTTCTTGTAATAAAGTTCAATGAGCTAAAATTTGACTGTTTAAAGCTTCAACCGGCCATTATTTTCTCATCCAATCCATTGTGCTATGACTGGTGTTATGTGCAGGATAGGCCTTCGCGCTCAGTTTCGCATGCGAGTCGTTCTGCCTTCATTCGTCAATGACAGTTCATTTTAACATATTTGACATCACAGGCCAGAAATAAGTTTGGAAGGGAAGTAAAACTTTTATTATATTTCTGTGCGAGGCTTTCTTTTACGACTAAAAGAAAGAACACGGGAGACTTGCAGACAATGGTATTGCGGGTCAAAGTTCCTCCAGATAATTGTAGGCCGTAGCTGTCTCCTTTATATTTTAGTCAAGTATTTCTGTTTCTCCTAAAAGTGTGCAAACATGTGTGAGATGGAATTCCTATGTGGTGAACTGGAAGTCTAAACTGGAACGTCGTTGCGAAATTTGAACAAACTGCCCGCCACGCGAATTGACATCAATGCATGCGTGGCGAGAAATTATCTTTTCACCTTTAAGCAAGTATTCCCTGCTTTACAATAACGTTGATGGTTTAAATAAAAACTGCTTTTCTAGAGATCACCAGCAGCCCTTTTTACTACGTTTATCGAGACTGGTCTTTCGTTAAACAGTGATAGCCAGCACAAGACGATGTTGTGTTCTTGAACAAGAGACACCATTCCGCTTTTATGCAGAGGTTCTAAAATTATATTTTTGAAGCAGATGTAAAAGCTTGAGCTGACCACTGTAGTAAAATTACGTATGCTTTTAAAGCGATACTGAACAATAGGTATTCCATAAGCCTACCAAGTTTTTCAGTTTTCCACTTGTTGAAGAACTGTTGAAATTTCTCTAAAAACGAACGTGATAACGTGAATATGTGAACAAGTCCGCTCGGTTTTGCGTGGGTTGGGTTTTTACCGATTTTTACTTGTTTTCAAGCATTCACAAAGATGTGAAGCAAAGCACACTGAAAGAAAAATTCGCGTCTTCATGAAAAAGTTCACCACCGTGGGAAAGCTCTCGATTGTCGCTACAATTTTGCTCTGACTTCTTTCCCATTTTTTCTTAACGAACATTGTCACTATGTTGTCTACACTACGCTATGTTTATCTTGCTGTTTATTAAGTTCAGTACAAACTTTTGCCCGGATTTTGGAAATTTTCAGTTTCTAAGTAATAGTTATGCAATCTACCGAGCTTGAAAACTTGAAAGAAAAAACTGGACAGATTTTTATCTCTACGGTACATATGTTCTCCTCAAAGGTTACTCTTGTTTTAGAGTTTTATCTCTTCTTCCATCCACTAAAAGAGACGTACGATGGTGTCTCCGATTGCGATGTTAATAATGGGGGCTGCCGCACTCGTTTGACTTGCCGCCAGTGGTAGGTGAGCGCTACTAGTTGTTGTTATTCGTTGAGAGGTGTCGTTTGATTGTCAACTAATAGCGCAATCCCTTTGAGAGATAAATAGGTTCAATGTTGTTCTTTTTCAATAATCGCCTCTTAAACAGATATAACTCCCACTCTTAATCAATCACTGAGAGAGGTCCCGTGCCTTCGAGTTCATCTAACTTGTAGTAGGATACCGATGTTTCATGTCAGTATTGCTATTCACCCAGACAAGTGTACTACAACTTTTCCAACTCCGAAGAGATGGCCGGATTAGTCATCCCGGGGCATTCAGGCGAACCATCAGCTATATGTGAATTACACGTCCCATCTAGCGACTACGTCATGTCGCCCCGTTGTCAATGGATAGCTGTGAAAATTCGGATTGGAATACCTGTTGCTTTGTCTCGCCTTTATATACGCTGCCTTTGAGTAACCTGTCTGCTCTATATTCTCTGTCTGGTCTTATTGACCGCTATTCATCCCCTTCGATTTTGAAATTTCTCAACATCATTCTTTTAATAATTCCCATAACCGATTTCCTATGACTTCAATGTAATTGAAATCTTCGTTTAGCACTTTCTCTGTTTGGTTATGGAAGTGTTTGGCTGAGCAGATTGCGGTCAACTTGACCTTTCCAGGTTCTGAGGTAGGCGAAATCTGCTGAAACGTTAGCTTATTCTTAAATAAAGAATGAAATAACACCTCGTGTTCATTCAACAAGAATCTAAAGAATTATTCTTTTAGACACGAAATTTTTCCAATGAATTTATTTGAATGAATTTCATGAATGCTTATTTGAATGGATGTCATGAATTTATTTGCCATGAAGGTTCGATTTATTGGATTCTCAACATGCCGCGATGAAATTCAGTGTTGATATTTTCTTAGCGCTAGCTTCATTTATAAGAGCGTTTTAGAGTCTTTTTCCAAAGAATATCGCCTAGAATCATGTAAGGATGTATTAGCTATGCCTGTAAAATTTTTTACCATAGAATCGAACGTCGATAAATTCTCTATTTGTTCAGTGCTGCAATCGTGTAGGCTCTACTGTCCTGCGGAACAAGAGCAATATCACACTTTGGCATGGTGCACTTTTTTATGTATTTCCAGATGGAAATTATCCCCTGGCAACTCATTAGGATCTGCCGTAAGTGCCTCATTAAAATTGCAGACTGTTGGGCTCTTTTGCAGTGAACACGGGAATTAATACAACCACAACGTTGCTGAGATATTTGCAAAACTCTGGACCGCAGGTGTCTATGGTGGGGAACGAACGCGCTATTGTCCTTTTCGGGAATAACGCGTTCACCACCACACCATGCGGGTCCTTCGTTTCGCCTGTCTCTCAGCTATTTCTATCGATCTTTGCCACAGCAATCACCCGTCAGCGGGATTGATCTGGTATAGTAGGCAGAAAATAAAAAGGTATAACAATAGGAATTAATTGTTGGACGAAACTGCGAATCGTTCCCCTTTACATCTTGAGTGTAAGATTGCTGCCGAATCAGATAGAAAATCTGCGTGGCGTGAGCGTAAGTACGCCCACGCACATGTGTAAATGTGATTACCCGTTTAGAGAAAGGTGTTCTTCATTCGCACATAACAAATACTGATGGTTTATCTACGAATTCATCTGCATCTCAAGTGCAGGGTCGCTTTTGGTTTAACTATCTTCGGTGTGGAGGTGCACCACCTAACTTCCTAATGCAGTTCCATATCTTTCACCTAATAAAAACCTGTTAGTGTAAAGCTTAGTTACGGCAAATCTCCTACTCGTGAACCTAAAGGGTATAACGACTATAGTGACATTGCACGTTTGACGTAATTGCGCTGAAGTAAGTGTCGTCGATTTCGCTGTTTCGCTGAAGTTACTGCGTGCATACGACGAGAACATTCGCAAGTGTCATACAAATAGTTGATTGGTATTGATAGTTGTCACGTTGCCACCAATGA